TTTGTATTTTGATATCCCTATAGTTTTATTATAAAGATTAATACGTTGTGTACTGTTAAAACCAAATAACCGACAGTAATGTTCATATATTTCTTAGATTTGCAGAAAAATTAAAAGACAAACTGACCCAAGAAAAGCCTCTTACGAAACTTTAATAATCCATTGATTAATCAAGTAGACTGTAAATGCTGAATCAGATCACTAAACAAATATTTAGTAGCCTTCAATTTTCAAACCAGCAATTTCTGCAGTTATGTGGTTGTACCTTTAAGCAGACGATGTGCAATTTTTCAATTTTCGTCCATTATAGCATAGCTCAAGTTAAACTGGTTGATTTACAGTGAAACAATTGACAACACCCACAGACAAGATATATGTCTGTGACAACAACCATCAATTGTTTCAAATCATTTATACGTCTTGCTTCCACCTAATGCAACTCCCATTACGTCATCTCATTCTATTCATTGGGCACGCGTTGCTAGTGTTGCACTGAAAAAAATCATATTATGTATCGATATTTGCAAGTATAATTATGACTATATATATAATGATTTATTTAAACAATCGGTAAAGTAAAAAAATATGCATCTGTCGTCGTAGTTAAGTATTGAGTCATGAGTATAATGTATCGATTTTATAAGTATGTCAGATTATGTACAAGAAACACTAACTATTACGTGATAGATTGTCGTCCGTTTTTATTGCTCAGGAAAATTTGTTTTTGCTTGAGAGTACATTTATATATTTAACTTCTTATGGCCGTGTGGTGTTGGCCTAGTATAATACCACCCCATATCTTTCCATGGATGTCTTCACAACTAACATACTGCGATCACCTATTCACCTTGCAAGTGTGGTAATTGTGCCAAGTCCCCGAGGAGTCCAGACAGTTTATGGGCTGTGGGGAGACCCATGGGCAGTTAGTGTTGTGTACTGTCAGTTGTTTTGTTTAAAATACGTGGGTACCGAAAAAAACTTAGTATTTTTGTATTGTTTTTGAAGATTTCCTAAAGATCCGGGCTATAAGGAAAAATGGATTGCTTCCACGAAAAGGAAAACTGGTTTCTAAGCAATTACAGCGTCGTTTGCTCTCGGCATTTCACAGAAGACTGTTTTTATACAAGGAACATTCTCCGCCGCTTATTTGATACCGCAATTCCTACACTGCATATGCCTGTAGTAGTAAGTGATATACGTAATCCATCTAATTTAATTTTATTAAACTTATATTATTTATGGACTCGACTTTTTTTCCCTTCAGAGTAACATAAGTTCTGAACGCGCTCCGAAAAATGCAAGTCCGATACCATCATCATATTAAAATGAATTTTTACCAACTACACCTAGGGCAACTAAACGAAAAGCTACCGATCCTGAAACTCCCACACTGTTTAATTCTCGGATTAAAAAACGTATTTGCAGATGTGTTTTAGAGTTGACAAGTCAGGTTAAGCATAAAAATAAGGCAATTAAGGCACTACAAGAGAAAGTACGTTACTATAATAAGAGGATGGTATCTTTAAAATTGATAATAAAACAATTAGAGGTAAAAAAATTTAAAAAGTTAAAGACATCGACACTAAAACATTGGTGAGCTTATTGAAGAAATCGTACAACGTCAATATCTTAAACACAGAACTGGGAAAATTGTAAAAAATAAATATTCGCCAGAATTGAGCAGTTTCGCTCTTAGGTTGAATTTTTATTCGACAAAAGCGTGCAAATATGTAAGAAATACATTTAGTACTTGCTCACTCGGTATAACTATGGATTCTAACAATACTACACAATTCGAAATCGTTAAAAAAACAGGTAATGTTTATTTATAATGCCATATCGTCGCCTTTTTTCTCAAACTCGTATCTTAAAAAACAAAGTAACTAAAATGCGAAAAATGCATTGTATATACATATTTGTAGGATGATTTCACATCAAATTTCCTTCATATTGACACACTGGCTTTTACCTATTCCTAAAGTAATGCATCCAAATTAACATCCTTGATAAGAAATTTAAAGGAAATAGAAATTCTGCCACCTCCTGAATAATCACTCTTTATTAGATAAGTGTTTGAGAAAGTAAGGCGTCGATATATACTATCGATTTCGATAATATAATATTTGCTTGCCCATCTCTAAAGTATATTTCGAATTTGGGCTATAATAGCCTATCGGAGCGCAGTTGTCATCAGTTGTCATTTGGCAGAATAGTTTTCAAACTTATTTTTTTTTCCATCCTCTAAGTTTTCAAACAAAGTAAATGGCATTTCGTCTCTATTTCTGGTTATATACTCGATGGAATAGTCACAAAGCTGCCAATAAATCATCATAGTTTTAACATTATACAAATTATATACAAATTAAAAAAAAAATTATAATAAGCTTACTTTAAGCGCGTCGTGGTACGAAAAGTCAATGTAAGGTTAAAGTTACATTGCTTTAAGAGGTTGTGGTAGTCCCCCCTGAACTTCCCCCCCGAAGGAGTTCCCGCCTTGTCGTGGCGGGGGGCTCTAGTAGCCGTGGTCGATTTCATCCCACGGTGAAGTTAAGAGGAACCCACGGGGCCGGCCGATGGTGGTAAGCTGACCCGAGGAGGAGGGCGTTCCGCGCGGGGCTCGTCTGGTCAGCGGGACCGCGCGGATGCGCGAGGAGGAGGGTCGCGGGGGGAGAGACGTGTCGGTGTGTCGTTGCCGCTCGTCCTGTCCTCCGCGACCCTGGCGGGGCTGCACCGCTTTGAATGATGCAGTGGCGGCGGGGCCGCGGGGGAAGAGACGTGTCGGTGTGTCGTTGCCGCTCGTCCTATCCTCCGCGGCCGAACGTGGGCGGTTGGCCCGTGGTGGGCGCTCCAAGGGACTCTCTTCGGAGAGTCCGCGCGGAAGCGCGTTAGGTGTTGCGGCGGAGCCTGTCATCAGATCCGCCGCGGGGGCTGGGGGAGCAGCCACTGAACTTCACAGTTGAGTGGATGCTGTCCTGGCCCCCCATGGCCCCTGGGTAGCGGACTCGGGGGAGTTCGTTCCCCAGCATAAAGGGGCCCGGGATGGAAGGCTCGTCTGGTGTTCGGCGAGCCTCACATTCGGAGTCGGGGGACCGATGTGTCTCCCTTCTCGAGGAGGGGCTGCGCAGGGCGCGGCCAGCCGCTGGTGGGGGCGCGGACGAGTGCAACAGCGTACCCGTGCCCCAACCTACAGCGGAGAGGAGGAACACTCCGGGGGTTTAGTGCGGTCGGGCTGCTCCCCTTCAGGGTTCAGCCCAGTCCCACATAACCCCGGCTCTGCCCCCGCGGGGCCGGGGTATCTGTAAGCAGATTCCCCCGGATTAACAAAAAAAAAGTCTCCCTGAACTTATAAGGTCCCTGTACTTGCATAGGTTTTATTGCTCGTCCCGTATAACCAAGAGGTTGATAGGGACGGTTATGTATAAAGATAGGGGACTGGCCATGTTTAACGTTGGTATTGAAGCCGTATTGTCGGATGACAGTTGCCGAAGGTAAAACTTCGTGTACGTCTGTTTGCAAGAGTTACCCTTTAAAACCAAATGAAATGATAAAGTTTCCAAGTTACTCTGAGTTCGTTTATAACACAATTAAGCACTTGTACCAGGTTGCTGGTAGGATTCAATTAAACATTTTCCATCTGTTTTTTTAATCTCTCAATGTAGTTTATATGTAATAGAGACAAAAATGAAATTAGGGATAGAGATAAATAGGCATTGTTGAATTTAGACGCATTATTATACATATATTCATGTTTTTCTATAAAGTATATTTACAACAATGTCAACAAGTATTTACCACAACTATTATGCACGCATATGTATAAGGATGTATAACCGAGGCCTATACATAATAATTATATTTATAAAACTCTAAAGGGGCCTATACATACATAAGTAATATTGAATGTAGCGAACCATGTACATACATTATATTTTACTGTAGTTATACTGATCCCTAACAACAGTTAAGACTCTTTATATACCCTTTACAACCGAAGAATATTCGATATATTAGTTGACACAACGATTTTCTAGAAACATTGAAAATACTGGATGATGTAAGACATCCTTATATGTTACTAGTATTATTGATTGTTATACCCCTAACGTTCAACAAAATTAGATATAAAATATTTTAGCACACGAAAATCAAACATGGCAACCAAAATTGATGACTGCTTTTTTACGAATTGGGACGAAATTTTGTTTGCTTTCATGTGGTAAACTTGACCTTAAAACGGTTCATCTAATTATGTTGGTGTTTAAATACATTATTGTAACTAAAGAGATAATACAAATACAATAAACATTTACGGTGTAATCAAAAGCAAAGGTATAATACAAACTTACGAAAATGTCATTACAATGGGCAGTCATTATTACATTGGTCACTATTGGATAGTTATCTTGAAAAGCCGGTATCCAACACATGCCTTTAACCCTAAAATAGCTAGAGAATTTAGCACGAACAAATCAAAGTAAGTTTTTAATGAAACTTTCATTGAAACTGAATAGTGATGTTACATTGTGCATCTCTTAAAATTGACTTCATGTTACTTTAGACAACTCTAAGCATTAGACTCGATTTTTTTCACTTTTTCAGATGGAATAATTTATACTAAATCATCTCCCGTTTCATCCTAATTGCAATTCCAAAAGGCACTAGTCTTTATTAATTAATTTAATCTTGATACGTTTCAAAATCGTTGTAGTTTTCATGAAATATTAGCCAATCCATTAGATAATTATTATTTTTTATATAGAGTCTTGTCATATTCTTCCTAAATTTTACTACATATACGGTTCTAACGATATCGTTGTAACTAAGCCTTTTACAAATAAAATCACAACATTTAACTCGTATTTTCAATAATAATATAAATAACAAATAAATAACAACAATAAATGATTAACGGCGATAACACGCACACTAATAAGTATAAACCTTTATCTAACATTTAAAAATTAACTTACTGCGCAATATCTCAGAGTAAGACGTTCTCGACAACATAACAATTGAGATAAAAACCTAAAAAATATTAGTCACAAAAGTTTTTAATAACTTCTTCAAATGTAAAATTAAATAACTCCATGAAGTGTTGTTCTTAAAATTATGTTATGCGTGTACTCAGGCATACTGGAGGATGCCTGAACCGTCTAACATAATCTTACAAGATCCTTATTAAAGGCGAAGCTCGAGTACTTTTGATGGTGCTTCTATATTGATGTCTCTTTCTATGCTACATTATCGGCAAATCAAGCTTTCTTCCCGCGCAGCACACGCCCCATGCGGCGGCGCCAAAAACAATTTGCCGTTGGCACAAGCACATAACTGGTAGATGTTCTGGTGATGAGGATCGTGTGAATGAGGTGTCGTTGGAGGTAGGGGTAACGCTGACTTCAGCTTTGGCATATATATGCTAGGAGCATCTAACCGTATCTGGAAAAAGGTTCAAATTTAAACCTGCATGATTATAAATTATGATCAATAAATTACTTTTTCAAACTTAATACCACACTTTTCGTGAACTAATATTAACCCACAAACAGAGAATTTGTAAGGAATGACTGAAATATTTGTAATTTTACAATAAAAATTAAAACGATAACACATAACAATATGCAATAGTCGGCATTATCGCAAAATAGCAACGCAGTCTTAGGATAGAAAAGAGTGATATGCAAAGTGAGTGCATTGAGTGCAATCAAACATTATCTTCTAATATGAGCCTGAAAGAGACGATGTGGAATAATGAGAGTTGAAATTATAGGATACCGTTAATATGTATTGGTAGTACTTACAGCTCCTGCGACGGATTTTAAATGGAAGGTGGAGAGACAGCTGGCACTGATGTCACCTGCCCGCGACTCCAACACGATATTTTGTGCTGCATGCACCTCTAGTGATCGCGTTGGAGATTCTAATCTATATGGGAATGATATAGACTAGGTTATAGGCTTTTACCGATATTTTTTTTATTTATTACTGCAAATAAAAGAAAATAAACGTGGACAACATTGCGTAGATACTATTTAATGTATTCACATATATTTACTGATTTTACGTTTAAAACAGAGTAGATAATAGGAAAATCAACTTACACTAAAGGCTTGGAGGGTGGCGCCTTAACCTGTGACGTTTGGACCGCAGTGTGGAAAGTGATTCCTGCAGGGCTAGTGATGACTAAAGTGTCAGCGCCAACCGTCACAGCATCGTGATCAGCTCCTAGTATCAGTGCTCCTCGGGAATCGCGGACTTCTAGCCGACCCACATTGACCTCTAGACGATCAGGACCTACATAATGATGTGAACTTGTTATTCAGCATATAAAAAGAATATATTTTTGTTTTACCTGTTGTCGACTTCAAAACTCTATAGGTGTACAGTTCTTACAAACCTTATTTAGAGTTTTTATTTCAATGTTTCAGTATATACAGTTTTGTTAGTAGTAAATTTCACATGTTTTATATTACTTACGTAAAAAAATGTGTGTCGGGTTACTCACCTAAAAAAAGTTTACTTTGTAACAAGCCATGAGCATCTCTTGTGGATACAGTGAAATTCCGCGAGGACTCCACAGAGATGGGATAGCCACGCTTAGATTTAATACTCGAGGCAAACAGTGAATCTAGTACTAACGCTTGCCCCAAGAGCTGGAGGCCACCAGGAACGATTCGGAGTTGCCCCATACCCTCCTGAACCATAAATACAATTTTAGTTATGATGAAAACAGAAAAATTTAAATAGCAAAAATATTTAATTTTAAAGAATTTTTACTAGCAGAAATACGATTAGGTGATTGAAAAAATTACCGTCGATTATATAAAGAACACTAATACACTTCGTAATTGTAGAGGCTATCCATAAAGGCTACCCAAGTAGCACACTCAGAAGAGTTCCATACTAATTTATCTAGACTGAATCTTATGGTTGTCTATAACTAGATATAATGTTTTATGAAGGTTTTGTTAAGAGTAGAAACTCTAATAGAGTTAATAGTTTTTTCTTAAATCCCTCTTAAAAGAGGAATTGAAAAAAATTGTTAATGTGAAAATTGCCTTAATGCAGCTCTGTAAAAAGAATGTTTTAAAAGTAATTTTACCCCAAAACTCCTTCTTAAGGTAACATTTAAATAAAATACACTGTAGCGAATATGTATGTAATATTTAATCTATACCTCGTCTAATACACTACTAATAAGTCACTACTTACTAAGATTAAAATCTTAACATAATCCTTTTAGAGATATTCTATATTGCCACTATAGTCTCCAAGTTTTAGTTAGCATAAGAATAATTTGTATAAATGTAGAAATATTTATTTCAGTACATTTTGTAGCTAGATCATATACGAGGACGCTTCTAAAACACAATAAAGAGAAGAGACAAGAGATTTAAGGCTTTTACCGACGATTTGGCTTACGTACGGATTTTCTTTGCATACGAACTTGGTTTGTGTTTATCCCTGGATAACTTTCATATCCATGACACTTTTTTTTATACACTTTAACTTCTACCACTTATCTTAACGACTGTTAATGTACGAACTTCACTACAACCTGTACAACCCGTTTTTTTCTTACGCTTCCCTATTTAATAACTTCTGTATGACGTCATCCAGTCACAAAACAATACCATAAGACAACATTAAGTCTATTGACACTCTATTCCTTCATCACTCTAAAGTAATAACACTATTAATGTTCTGAAGTTGTTCAGTGCAGTTCCTTTTACTTTAAAGAGAATCCTAAAATGGTATATTGAAATGATTAGTGAATTCGGTCATTTTGAAAATGGCGACTGATTATTTGTAATGTTTTGAAGTTTGATTTAATTTAATTAAACTTAATTAAGGTGTGACAGAGGTATAACTAATTATTACAATGGATTAATATCTGTGTAAATACTTCCATTACCAAATACACACAACAGTTTAAAAAAAAAGAAACGTCAGAATTTTAAGAGCTTATATTTTTTTCTAAATTTTTATATAGATTCATACAGATTAGATAAATTTTAGGAATCTATAAATAATTAGTATAATTAATACTTTTCATGCATATTTTCGCCATATTGTTTAATCAGCTTGAATTTTTTAGCCATATTTCTGCGCTTCACACGTGTAAAGTTTGATAAAACTAATCTAATACATTTTATTAGTTGGCATTGACTTGTTGGCCAAGATTTATTTCACAAGTTTCCAAATTTTTAACTCTTTAGGTGATGAATAATTAAAATATACCTATTCCAAATAAACGTAAGCTGGCGTTAGAATAATGTAACAAAAGCATGTTCTTAAAATTATCTATACGTTACTTAATAGAAAAAAACGTGCACTATAAACTATCTTAACGTGTTCTCGAAGTAATTGACTATAGTAAGTTCTCTATGAAAATCTTCTCGTAAGTTTATCCTAAGTCACACCAAAAACCATTGCTCCCCGTGGTTGGCCCCTTTTTACTAGAGGTTAGCTATACAACCTCCTGAAGATACTCGAAGGACAACTTACTTTTAAGCTAGATCATCAAATATGACTCTATTAAATATCCACAAAACCGTAATTAGACTAATTTGTGCCACTTGGGTAGGTACACATTAGAATGAACTTATAAGTTAGGTTTTAGAAATAAAACACTTACGGAATTAAAATCCAACACTTTGAGCACCCACAGCGTAAGTGCAAGGTTGATGACCATCATGAGCATAAGTGCAATAACAAGTATGTAAAGACATTTCTTGCGCCATCCGTAGACGCCCACTTTGAATTGGCTATTGTAGCTGTTCCTGATAGAATCGGCCTTTGTGTCCCGCGACGCATTGTTGTTCAGAATTGGCTCCGGGGTGATCTTGTCAGCGTAGGGTATTCTGAAAATAATATTATGTTGATATGATAAATTGTATTATTTACTTAATAATAAATAATAATAAGAACTTTATTGGTAAACATGGACAATAATTTCATTGCTTAATTAGTTAGTGATTCATTGTTAACAAGTCAGACAATATGCTCCCATACAAGGATTTTAAAAGTTACGTACCGATTACATTTATTTATAGACTTGAAATAGATGTATGAAACACATGCAAAAGCAAAATTAATAATCCGACTTAAATATATTTCATTAAAGTCACAACGGGTTTTCAATATTATTATTTATATGAATACGTAGGTATAAAGTACTTTATTTCTTTTGGTTGAACAATCTCGCTTTTCCTCAAGTATGTTTTAAAATGTACTAAATCGCAGTAAATGTAGCATATTAAAATAATTCAAACGTAGTTTATTACAACGCGCACATAAGTTCACGTAAATGCCATTGAATAGCCGTGAGGGTGAAATTTGTCGCGACGCCAGACGAGTGCTTACACCGCTCGCTGTTTCAAACACATTTCGCTTGCATAAATCAAAACTTTATTTCCTTAGCCCTCAAATTGTGAGACTTTCATAACACATTTTTTTTTTAATATTCGAACATCTAACTGGATCTCGTTTGGTTGTTAATTTTTTTAATTTAATGTGCCTAACAACCACACCGGTTACCTGGGCTCAAACTAGAGAATTTATTGTGCTATGAGTACCAGAACAACGGAATTGCCATCGGGACACTACCCAAAACACTCAAACCAGAACCAATTTTGAAAAGTTTTTTCCCAAATTCCTACCGGGGATCGAACACCCGTCTACAGCGTAAACCCTTAAGCTACCGTGGTTGTCAATACTCAAAACATACTGACATGTCTCGATTTACTCTAAAGATTTAAATTTAACACTATACATCTCATAATAACAAATGTTATAAACAGTCCAGAGTCTAAAATGTAATATCCAGCTTGCTGTTGACTTTTACATTAAGGCAGACTTTATAGGAATATTTGGAGGTTTCCGAACCATTTTAGATTCAAATATGCAAATGCGATCGTTATTTGTGCACATTTAGTGTCGTATTTTCAACAATTAAATATGACATCGTAATGAATCACCCGCGTACGTGGTCATTTGTCAGAAGAGCTGAGTTATTGTAAAGTAAATTTATGTAATAAAATTTATATTTATTGATTGAGTGTACTATTTCTTAAGAAAATATGATACGTAGAAACATAAACTAAATGACACTTTCATTACTGCCAATGTTATAATGGTTTCACGTACAGCACAACTGATATCATTACGTATTCTCAGTGCATGAAAGATACTAAACTGATACTTCCTATTCAGATACAAATCGTGGCTACTTGTGCAAAAGCACACTGCGAGTGACCAGCGACACAGATCGGGTCATAAATTTGCCAGGATTCAACTTGACAGGGCATTGCTCTGAAAAATGCGGAATTTCCATCAACATTGAGAAAGGGTTTGCTCCTAGCCAGGATGTAATTACAAAACCATTGCAATTTATAATAGATAGTTCCCTATAACTTGTCTCACCCACAAATATAAGAAAGTGATAGACATTATTAGTTTTATGAAAATAAAAAAATTCCATGGTGACCTCCGGTTTGCATAACGGTTTTAATGGCGTCTTAATGGCTCGTGTTTGTGGTACCGTCATTGTTTCCGATTGCCATAATACAAGTGCTTTAGTTACTTACTTCGTGGTCAGAGCAACATGTGTGATGTTGTCTAATATTTATATAACTTTTATATTTATAATGAAAATACGTAATTCAAAACTGCTTTCATACTTTTAAATAGTGGAAAACTAAATTAATGAAAGTATTAACTATGACCGAAATGAGTTACACTGATGAATTCCTATCGATGTTGTGTATCATATCAATCAAGTTTGTTATGATTACGATGATACATGTCGGGAGGACATGAACAAAGCGCTCTATCCGGTGGCGTCAGTGGCGAGGTCATAAATTTACGGGGATCCAACACAACCGAAGCATTGCACTGAAAAATTTTGAGCATCCTTACTCGCCCACTGGGATGCTCGCCGCCGCGCCACCTACTCACGAATGAAGTCATCACGTTTTGAATCTGTGTTCTTTATGTGTTTTATATTGTCTGGTTTTGAGTTTACTGCTGACGCCGTCAAACTGACCCGGGGTAAATTCATGTTTGTCTACGTTTGATTTAGAAATGATGAAGTACAAAAAAAGGAAACATTTATTGTTAACTGGTCAAACTAAAGTAATTCTCATTGTAGCTGTATAACTGCTACAGTGAGATTTGAAAGAAAGAGGAATTGACCTGATCTTAATACAATAAGAAGGCGACGAAATGTAATACTAATTATGTAATTGAATTGTTTTATAATTGAATATGAGGACCTACTGACATTTGCATATAATTGTTAGGTAATTTATAAGATGATGATGATAAAGAAAGATAACTATATACTGCATAAACATATTACAACTGAAAAGTGGTGCGAAACCTTAAAAGGAAAATATAAAATTGTGAAAGTATCAGTGCGAGTGTCGGGCACTTTATCTCCCCGGCCAGCCGTCCAACACGTTTGGGGGGTTTACGCGGCATTAGAAACCAATTATAACAATCATGCTATTTGCTCAACCCCCCGCAGACCTTTTTCAAGTTTCCGAATAAAACATTTCTTACAATCAGAATAAAATGCTGATAAAAATGTTGCAACCAATTGGAAAATCTAAGATGAATATCAAGAAATTTGGGACAGTAAATATCACGGGTTTCGTCAACGTTACGACGTAACATGAATGTTACCATTATATTTAATACTGAATAGAGATAAAAGTTAGAAATAGGGTGGAATCTAATAAATTCTCAGCGCGGAAGCGTAAACGATGTACGCCGAGACGGGCACGTAGCAATCCCGTAGCGGCGGCGTAGCCAGCCGCCGCGTAGCCCGTAGCTGGGCAGAGCGTGCCGCAAATGAGCAATATTAATCATCCCCATCACGGCAGCTGACTTCTGAGCTTCCCCCAGATTCTCCTTAATCAGCCAGGATTTTCCTCCTTCTTTAGATGCGAATGCGAAAAGTATTTGAGAAAATTATATTAGACTCAGACACGTATTGATATACATTTTGTCCAGCAAAAGTATGAAACGTTATTCAGTTTTTTATTTAGGCCAGCATATTTTTTGCAAACCACGTTGTCATGTCTTTATTGCAAAATGTGAACTGTACAATCCATGTGGAATTGTAAAAAATAAGAATATCGTGAATATCAATATCGTAATATACATAAGAAATTTACTCGAAAATGTACACACTATTATGTGTACTGTTTGCTCATGATGTTTCTATTCTATGTAAATATCCTTACTTTAACAATAGTATCTGTAATGAAATAATCGAACGTTAAAAAAAACTGAATTTATGCAGTTGAAATCGCAAAAAAAAGACAAAACTACACACATATATAATATATATACATATATGTATAATATAAATATATAAAAGTTTAAAGTACTAACTTAATTTAATGTCAATTAAGTTAGTACTTTAAACTGTCACTACATATTTATCTTGATCTTGATCTTCTTGATCTTGAAATTACACAGTGAAAAATCTAAATTCATTCAATCTAAAATCAAAGATTAAGTTAGTGTGCGTCCTAATTACTTGTTAGGCATATGTTAGGTATATGTTAGCCTCCAACACATAATAAGTATTTTTTAGTAATTACATTCAACTTACGTGAAAGATTCACCTGCCGATCTCATTTCAGTAACCTAAACTTACTTATTCTACGTTCAACATATCGCACAGAAATTGCATTGAATTATTTAAAAAAAAACAACAACCCGACTGTAAAAACGTTTCGCTGGAAAGATAAAAAAAATTAACACCTCTCACTATTTTGAATATTTTTTATAGTCTATGACACTCCCACTATAAAGACGAATCTAACGACACCTCATATGACAAAATCCATCAAGCCGTTTAGGCTGTACAGGTAAACATAGAAATGGACATACTTGCATACACTTGAAAAACATAACTCTCCAGCGGTCGGGCAAAAAGATATACATATCTCATCATATTTAAACAATAGTTTGAACCCGTTAATAGTTATCTCCGTAAATACAAATTATACCAACCTACACCCAAATTAGAGATGTTTACAAATAGCTCCTACTACAGGGCTACAGCCCCGTATCTTTCTACATAAGTTTTGTTTGTTGTGGCCCTTCCTATCAACCTCTTGGTTATACGGGAAGAGCAATATAATCTGTGTGAGCAAGACTACAGGGCTACAATTAAAATACACAACACGCACTAAAATTAACGACAACTTTAAATCACCGTCACATCAGCAGAAAGACATTCACTGCGAACATGGGCCTTCTTAAAAATCACTTAAAACTATTAAATTATAATATTAGTCTTTCAAAGATATACTATTCAACTCTTCTGTTGTATTACTTATATTCTATTGTATTGTAATACTTGTCATATAGAAAATTATAAATAAAATAAATAATATACAATCTCCTAACAGTATTTTGTAATTATTATAAATAGTGATGATAATAACAACAATAATGAAATATTTATGAGACATAAGAAAAACTAATTTAAAACTATTTTAAAAAACTTATTTGATACTTATTTATAATTCTAGATTGCAGAATTAAGGTTTGCATAATCTATTCTCTTTTTGGACTAATATAAAATAAATACAAACAGACGTGGCAAGTCCATTAGAAACGTAAAGCGATACAAATTCTTTTATCACAGAAATTTAAGATGTTTATCGCGCCTTTTCTTCGACTGAACATCAAACATTTTGAAACAAAATTTCTATGAATTTAAGAGCGAATTTACTTATTTGTTTTGTTATCTATTATTATTGGTGCCCATTGTATATAAATATATGAAGTATTGAATTTAGGTTATCACGAGGTTAACTATATGATGTCAAAAATGATCTTA